TCTGTCGACCCCGCCCCTTACAATCTGGCCCCGCCCCATCTTTCCCTGGCCCCTCCCATGGCCTCGCCTCGCCGCTGCGCCCGTTCAGACTCTTTGGACTCAGATGCGGAAGAGACCATGTGTCCCGCCGCCATTTTGAGGGCTAGTTAGGCCAAGCAGCGGTGACGGTGTCGCCTCCAGAGTGCTGACAATGACGCCGTGGCAGCGGAAGAGGCGACTGCGCCCCGGCCGCGCCAAGCCCGCTACCCGCCCGCACCGCCGCTTTCCCCGACGTCGCTCGGGAGGCGGAGGCGGAGGAGGAGGACGTGCGGCCGCCGCCGCCGCCGCCGCCGTTATCGTCGCAGCTGCAGCCGCCCGCTACCCGCGGTCGCGGTCCCCGCAGCCGCGCTCTTCGCCGCCCCGGGCCGCGCAGCCCCGCTCCCCGCAGGCCCGGGCCGCGCAGTCCCAGTTCCCGTCGCTCCGGGCCTCGCAGCCCCTGTTCTCGCCGTCCTGGCCCCCGGCCGAGGAGGAGCAGCAGCGTTCGCTCAGCGAGCCCGAGGATGTGGACATGGACGGTGAGGCGCGGGGCCGGGGCAGCGGGGCCTCCGTGCAGCAGAGGGGCGGCCGCCCGCCGACCCCAGGAGCGCGCGCGGGGTGGCGCCGGCCTGGCCACGGGGACCCCTCCTCTCGTGGTGGCCTCGGGTGCCTGTTGATTCCAGGGTGTGTGTCCATTTAGGAGCGAAAAGAGCCGTTGGCTTGATGTGAGGTAGGACGTTTCTGTGAGCGACGGGGAAAGAAAGGGCAACATTGCAGACCTCTCTGTGACCCGGGCCTGCTGGTCACCAAGCCCCGAGTCCATGTACGTGGAGGACCCCGCCTTCCTCGGGCTTAGAGTCAGCTCCCCAAGGATGCTTGGCAGGCCGCAGGCCGGTCCAGGCGCGAGAAATTGATTCATAGAATGTGTGACTTAACATCCGTGTTGGTAAGGCTGGCCCCTGCGCTCCAGGGAGGACACTGCTCATGGACTAGAACTGCTGACCCGTTCAGTTAGCAACATGTAATATACAGTCCCACTGATGCAACTTAGCAATAATAAGGGGAAAAACTCAACTCCCTGCCATAAGTAGACTCCAACTAATGCGACCCACCACCAGGTTTCTGAGGTGAACTCAGATCAGCCTGTGGGCTCCAATTGCAGGAGACACTTGGCCTTTTGGTCTGTACGTGTGTTAGGAGTGAAGCCACCAGGGTGCCCTCTTGTTTAGTTTTGTTGTGTTTTTTGGTCTGATTTGTTTTAAATAAACACTCAACGTACTTTTGAAATCCTTTTCACCTGTTGGAAATATGGTCTCTGCTGCTCCCACCCTGGTGGACACAGCAGCAGCTTTTACAACTTCATGAATGGTGAGCTTTTCTGTGACCCTCAACTCCTTCCCCTCCATCCTTCCTGCTTGAGAACTTCACACCTCCTTCATAGGGATTAGGAACTGTGGTAGTCATAGCCATGATGGTAGATTAGGACTACTGTAGTCAGCAGTTCATCTCACATAAATCAGGCATGTTGCTAGGAGAGGCTGTTCCTTGAAGAGGGACATCATGCTTGAAAAAGTGCAGGGTCAGCAAAAGAGAGGAAGACTCTCAACCAGGTGGATTGACACTGACTGCAGCAGTAGTAGGCTCGAGTGTGTCAGAGGTGATGAGGATGGCATGGGATAGGGTGGGTTGCTGTGATTCATATTCGAAGGCACCTAAAAACAAGCTGTAGACAGTAGTCTGGTGCCTGCTGACCGAAAGGCTGCATATCTAGCAGAGTTTGACTCTCCCTGTGGTTCTGAGAGTGAACACTGGACAGTCTTGTCCCATGAAGAATTTCAGCCTCAGAAACTGTCCGAACCCATTTATTCAGTGGCAGTGAGCTGACATGTTGCTAACCAGAGGGTCAGCAGTTCTTACTCATCCAGCTCCTCTGTGGGAAGAAGCTGGGAAGTCCCCTCTCGTGCAGCAGCTTTGCAGCCTTGGAAATCCCAAGGAGAGCTGTGAGAGTTGGCATTGGATATGGGCTTTTCAGATGGCTCGGAGCCCTTGTGGTTTGGTAGATGAGGAGGTGTGTAATGTGCACTTCACATGGGCAAGAGCTTTGGTGCAGTAGTCTGTTTTGAGTTGTGCTGCTACCACAAAGGCCATGCCTTGGGAAGTTCAGATCTACAGAAAGTGGCTCCTTTGGAGAAAGTTGGACAGTCTCTTATGAGATTTACTGCCCCAGAAATGCACTGGTTGTGACTTGGTTCCAACTCCAGGATGAGTGGGTCAGAGGTGGCATATGAACCGCTCACCAAAGTGTTTCATATCTATGGTGGTCCACATCCACCAGCAACTCCTTGGAGAAAGAGCTTTCCAACCTGAAGAGAAAGAAGGTGAGTGGTTTGAATCCACCATCCCACTCCAAAGGAGAAAGGACAGCCTGCTCCTGTAAAGTCACAGCCTTAGAAACCCAGTGGGGCACTTTTGCTCAGGGTTTCTGTGAGTGAGAATCAGCACATCAGCAGTAGGTTTGGTTTTACAGTGAGAAAGCTTCCCAAGTGGCATAGTAAATTGAACATTATTAGACCGCTGACCGAAAGTTCAGAGATTTGAACCAACCAGCCACAGTGTGAGTCCATAAGCTGCTTCCACAAGGAGTACAGCCTCAGAGACCTGATGGGGTGATTCTTCTCTCTCCTGCAGGTTTGATAGGAGTCAGAAATTGGCATGATGGCAGTTGTTTGGTTTTTTTGTTTCAGGCACGTGCACAGTGTGGAAACTCTTACTAAAAGTGTGATACCACTTATTCTCCTGGTTACTTGGGCTTCACAGCTTTAAGTACTTTTTTAAATTTTTAAATACCTTTATTTTAGAGTAATTTTGATTATCAGCAAAGTTGTGTGCTATGGGGGGACCAGTTTTGGGAAGTGTCGTGCCTTAAACCTTAAAAAGTCACACGTGGACAGTTAATTGTTGAATGATGCTTCCCTCCCCCATATATGTGTCAACAAGACTGGACCATGATTCTTTGTGGTTTGGCAGTCCTGTAATAATGTAGTCATTCCCTTGGTGTGATCAGTTGTCAGAGAAGTGGGGTGGACTTACCACTCTTACACAGATCACAGCCCTGCTCCTGTGTAGGGGGATTTCTCTGGGGTCTGGCCTACATCACCTTTTATTTTAGAGATTCTAAGGACAGGCAAGTGAGCAGAGGAGAAGGGACCTACATCCCATCATGATGTACAAACATGGAATGCAGGATCTCCATGCTGAGAACATCTACACCCAGGAGAAGATTGATGCCAAGACATATGATCCCATGAGGTTCTAAAGAGATAAGGATCTCCCCCACGTTGGTAGAGGGCTGGCACCCTGATTGTGGTCTTTTATCCTCCTAACTGTGCGAAGGGTACGTTTGCACAGGTTATTAAAATCGTTTCAGCTGGCCAGAATTCTAACCTGGCTAGGTGGGTCTGTCCCTACCTGGGAATCCTCGCTTGAGTGGTGGAACTCAGTGTTCTGCCTTCAGAGGCTGACTGTAGGCATGGCATGCCTTTATTAGTGCTAGAACAAGATCTTGCATTTTGTGGCATGTTGTGTTCTCTTCAGTAACCACATTGAAGGAAGTCCTGCTGTCAGAAAACCAGAGAAGAATTTTTTTTTCCTTTTTCTCCCTCTTGTATGTAAGGCATTATGATGTAAAACAAGAGAGCACATGAATTGATGTTGATTTTAATGATTGCTTGGCTTCTGATGACAAAGACTTCCAGTTAAAGTCAGTTAGGTTAAACAAATTACAAACTGTGGCTGACTCTGAGAAGGGAATCCCAGAACACTTGATCGTGCTAATGCGAAGCCTATACTTGGGCCAGGAGGCAGTCATCAGAACAGAGCAAGGGAACACTGCATGGTTCAGAATTGGGAAGGGATGCGTCCTATTTCCATACCTTTTCAACCTGTATGCGGAACAGATTATCCGGGAGGCTGGGCTCTATGAGGAGAAATGTGGCATCAGGATTGGTGGAAGATCCATCAACAATCTGCGTTATGCAGATGACACAACCCTGCTTGCTGAAACTGAGGAGGACCTGAAGTGCTTGCTGCAGAGGGTCAAGGATTGCAGCCTTCAATATGGATTGAGGCTCAATGTCAAGAAGACAAAGACTCTGACCACTGGGCCAATAGGCAGCATCAGGATGAATGGTGAAGAGATTGAGATTATTCACAGCTTTGGTTTGCTTGGCTCCACAGTCAACACTCTCGGCACCAGTAGCCAGGAAATTAAAAGAGTATTGCCATGGGAAAGTCTGCTGTTAGGGACCTCTCCAAAGAACTGGAGAGTAATGGTGTCTCTCTGGAGACTAAGGTGCATCTGATACAGGCCAGGGTCTTTGCAATCACTTGTTATGCATCAGAGAGTTGGACAGTAACCAAGGAGGATAGAAGGAGAATTGATGCCTTTGAGCTGTGGTGCTGGAGAAGAGTACTGAATATACCATGGACTGCTAAGAAAATGAACAGATTGATCCTGGAAAGGGTTAAACAGGATGCTCCTTGGAGGCAAGGATTCTGGCTCCATCTAACATACTGTGGACATGTTGTAAGGAGATACTGGTCCTTGGAGAAGGACATGATGCTTGAGAGGGTGGTGGGACAGCGCAGGAGGGGAAGGCCCTCTATGAGGTGGATTGATTCAGTGACTAGGGTAGTCGGGATGGGAATGTCAGAGACAGTGCAGTTGGCACAGGACAGAGCAGAGTTTATGGCTTGTTGTACATAGGGTCGCTATGAGTCGTAAGCAACTCTACGGCACATAACAACAATAAACAACAACCATCTCTGCTCTATTTGGAATTTATTTGTATCTTATAATCTGACTTCCCTTGACCTCTTTAAACCAGAAGCTTTCAGTCTGCATAGGATTATTAATTGTTTGGCAGAATTCTGTGATTTAGGACAGTTCAGGCTACTTACATTGGCTTATCCTTGTTTTAGGAGTGATGCTTTATTTCACAGATGGGAGTATCAGTTTGTCATTTTTGCATAGGCATCCTTTCAGAAAAGACATGCAGGACAAATTTGAACTGAAGAACTCACTTAAAAAAACTGATACATGCCAAACACATACAGTCATGTATGTTTGTCTACATGTGAAATAAAAAACTGAATCTGACCCACAAAGCCTCCTAATAGAGTTTTAAGTGCCAGTGTTCCCAGTTTGTGTGTAAAGAGAAATAAGAACTTACATGTTTTTGTTCCAACACACCACTCTCCTGTTTGTAACAAAAATTGCACATTATACATACTGCTTGGTGTCATGTTGGTTTGGTTGGTTGTGGGTTGTTAGATTTTGGGGTGGGTTTTCTTTTTTCACTTAAAGACCTTTCATCTAATTGCTGTTTTAGTTACATAGTTACTAACAGTTCTGTTAGCTACTCTTAACAGAAAGCCACATTACCACATGGGATTGTTTTAGCAAATACAAGTTTATTTTATTTGGGTTAGCAGTCCAAGCTCACAACAGCAGCACCAAGAAAAGGCTGTGCTCTGTCAGCAGTTGGGGAGGGTCTGCTCTCCAGCTGGGCACTCTTAGCCCAGAGACCCTCCTTGTTCTCCTTTCGTAGTGACCGGGCCCTGCTTGCTTTTCCCCCTTTAATCTCTTTTAAGAACATATGTGACTCAGGATAATACCCCATTCCACTTCTGAGCTTTAGGATTTACAGAATCACGAAATGGACTGCAGACATCACAGGCCACACCGCATGAGAACACTTACATACCCTGGAAGTTGTGGAGGTTACAGTTGAGCTTATGTCAAGACTCAAAGTGAGAAAGGCAGTGAACCATGTGGGTTGATTAGGCATTATTATTAATTATTGAATGCAGTTAGTGTTCTGAAACAAAACTTCTATGAATGATTGTGTGAAAAACTAATGTTAAGTGTTATAGCGTCATAGGCGACTCATAGCGACCCTTTGAACAAAAGTTCTCGACACTTGAGTGACTTTCATCCTTTCTCCAGGTTCATAGGGTTTCCAGAGGCAAGCTATTATGGAAGTGAATGCCACTTCTGCTTCCAAGCTTGTTTTAATCTGGGATTGCCACCCAACACCGTCCACCATGGGTAACCATTATTACATTTGATAGTGTCAAAGTGTTTAACTCCACAGCGACCACAAGTTACGTCTGTACAGCAAGTGAACATACCAGGGCTATACAACCTAGAAGAATGTTTGACCAAAAACAATGAAAAACAGGCTCGAGGGCCACGGATTAGAGTCACCCACCTTTGGCTTGGTAGCATAATACGATTATTTATAAACCTTCACTTTTTGACTACTCCAAAGATATAAGTAAAAGGAAGACTCTTATTGGACCAGAGCTCCTATTTAGCCAACACAGGAGTTTTTAGAACATAAGCTCATAAGCAGGCATCCCCATGCTGCTAATTCATGGAAGTTGTCAACTTTATATGTCTCTTATAGGTCTTTGTAGGTGTGAATGTGCCACCCTCCATTTCTCTAGACAACAACCAAGTCTTACCCCAAGCCTAGTTTGTTTCTTTGAATATTAGACTTTCAAGATTTTATTGTCTGAACAAAAAAACAAGATACAACTTAGAAGTGGGTCACTTGGCTCTTTCCATGGCCAGCGTTGTCTGAGAACTACATCTGAGGCTCAGCTCTGTCTTTATAGTTTGAGCATTCAGCATGACTGACTCAACCTGGCCTCTGCATCCACTCTGTGTCCTGTCACATTGCCACTCTTCCTGAGCACACAGCCTTCACATTCACTATCATTCTGGCAGGTTGGTGCTTGCCATACTCCTTACAGAAAGTCCACCAGGCTTTAGGAACATTTGAAGGAGTCTCATATACATTGAAAAGGAGCTCCAGGTCCTGCTTTTAGTTGCTGAGTTTGGTTTTTATTTTTTTTAACACGATGCCACAAATGATGGCAAATATGTTTTTAAGCACAGTCGTCAATTTAAAAGTGTGCGGCAACGTGTTGTGATTTGAGATCATTTGTAAAATTTATTTTTTTCATTCAACTGTTAATACACTTTTTGTTTTATAATAAGAATCCCTGCAATGTAACCATACTCTGCCCACTACCCTGTGATTATCGTGTCCACTCTCTTATCCTACACTCCTCTCATCCTTGGGCACATGCTACCCTTTGGCTTTATATGCTTGACTATTCCAAGGAAAACAAACAGATTCATCCTGGAAAGGGTTAAACCGGGTGCTTCTTGGAGGCAAGGATTCTGAGGCTCTGTCTAACATACTTTGGACATGTTGTAAGGAGAGACTGGTCCTTGGAGAGGGACAATCATGCTTGGGAGGGTGGAGGGACAGCGCAGGAGGGGAAGGCTCTCTGTGAGGTGGATTGATTTCAGTGACTGGGGTAATCGGAATGGGAGTGTCAGAGACAGTGCGATTGGCAAAGGACAGCAGAGTTTAGGGCTGTTGTGCATAGAGTCGCTATGAGTCACAAGTGACTCGATGGCACGTAACAACAACAACATTCTAAGGAGTGGCTGCCTGTCTGGTGTTACTGTGAACCTGTATTGCTTGACTGAGAGTTAAACTTGAGGAAGTGCTTTTCATCCCAGGACCGTAGATGCGGGGATTCCGCTGGTCTCAATCACATCAGGAAACCTGGCCTTTTCTGTATCTGAATTTTGGTCCACTTGTGTCACATGCTCTATCCAGGATCTTCTGTGACTCCTTGAGAGTGATCAGAAGTCGGAGGCAGGTCCTGTTTGTTGACCAAGTGGTGTGTGGACCATCTCCTGCCTTGGCTCTGAAAGCATTGCTCAGGATTCCTCATGAAAGAGGATGTGGTGGCATTAACAGTGGTCATGTAATGTGCTCTAGAATGGAAAAGAAGACCCCATTGTTGGCCTTCCAAGTTCATAAAGAAGTACACCATCCAGGATCCACAGGCAGGCTCACCACTTGGAAACTGTTCACAAGCAATCCCCAGGTTTACGCATTTTGATTTCCAGTGGTTCTGTCTTGATAACAGAGAGTGTTTGATACTGTGTACCTGGGAGCCTTGGTGTGGCCTGCGTGACTCATGCTGCCTCTTTTCATTAGATGTCGCCTGGCGCTCCGAGGCCACTATTCAGTTCACTGTCCAGCACTTTAGCCGATTGGTGGGACGGGCTCTGAGCCCTCCGTGCTTTGTGCAGAATCTGCCCTGGAAGATCCTGGTGGTGCCACACTTTCACCCTGACAGACCTCAGCAGAAGCGCATTGGGTTCTTTCTGCAGTGCAATGCCGAGTCAAAGTCCAGGTAAGCGTGCTTAAATGACAAGTACAATGGTGCTCCTACATCACTGGAAGCCAAATTTGATTGCCCAGAATCTTTTCCTTTTCCTTGCCCCATCCATTCACATAAACCCATAACTGTTAGGTTGATTCAGACATAATGGCAACCTCCATCCAGTTTCCAAGGTATAAGTCTATACGAGAGAAGACCTCTTTCTCTCATAGAGGTGCTGGTGAATTCAAACCCTCAACCTTTTAGTTAATAACACAACACATAGCACACTATGCCACCAGGGTCCTTTCTTAGGATTTGAAATTGGATTAGATTGCTTTTCTTCTTTAAAACCCACTAGTAGGTTTATGCCTATTTTTACTGTAAATAAGACTATATTAGCACCTGCCGTCCCACGGGATTGATAGCATGATCCCTTTGGCCACAGACTTCATTCTTCCAAGTAACAGTGTGTGGGGTAATTACAGACAATTCCTCATGCTGCTCACCCTCAGTCTTTTTATTCTTTGGGAAATAGGAGTTTACAGGTGGCTCAAACTGATGGGTGCTCGAACCTACCTGAGACACCTCCAAAAACAGACCTGGCTGTCTATTTTCCCATGGCCACAGCCTCAAAGACACCATGGAAGGTACAGTCCTATCTTCACACACAGGATCACAGTGAGTCAGGACCAACCAGGGCCACCAACCATGACTGTGCTCAGCAGACACAAACCTCTTTTGATGTTTTCAGTACTTGGGTCTATAATTATTTTAGAGAGAAAATTTTTTTTAAAATTTCATATTTTAAAAATGCATTATATTATAAAATTTCTTAAAATTGAGGAGTAGCTTACTGGATAATTTTATAATAGTTCATGGATTATTCAAATGAAACTGTGGGTGAAATACTTCACATCTCTATGAGCATTGCCAATGCTCCATGGATTTATTCCTTCTAAGTGGAATGGTTACGAGTTTCCTCTCTTAATCAGTAGCTGTTGAACTGTTAGCAGAATCTCAGTGGACATGCAGATTACTTACCACTCTCTCATTCTATAGCAAAGAGGCCTGTAAAAAGAGCCCGCACCACTTGAGGATGGCCATGTTTGACCTTTATAAAGGGGAATTGTCACGATCAACAACATTAATAACAATTCCCATGAGGTTAAACATGTACCCCATGCTTCTATACCTCTTTCTACTCTTAACACCTGTCTTATGGCTAAGCTGGGTCCAAAATCCAATGTGGTAGCTCACACACCACACAGAATCATGTTGGGGAAGTCAGAAGGTTATAATCTAGATTAGTAGCAAGAGCACAGTCAGGACAGCTTCAGAAATGTGCCACAGGCTCTTCAGCCTTGGGCCTCACTGCTTGAGACCAGTGTTAGAGCATTCTCAGTCCTGCCAGTATTGACTCCCTCTCCACTCCCTCAGTCTTAGCCAGTGTTAAAAGTTCTCAGTCTTGGGAATTATGGTCCTCCACCCCGAGTTGTCCAGCAAACTTGGGCAAAGGCTCTTAGCTCTGGTTCAGATGGTATAGCAATCCCAAGGTCCCATCTTACATCAGGTCTGCAGTTCAGCTATGGCTGCTGCTGCTGTAGCTGGAGCCAGAGCAGGAACATCTTGGTCTTGAAGGTATCCTACATTCTTTTGTGGCTGCTTTTTTGCCTGAGGGAGGAAGGTCTAATTCTCCTGCTGCTGGATTGCTCAATTTAATGGCAAGACTAGCACATCTCCTTGTGGATAGATTTAACAGCCCTATTCGCATATTTTTTCAAATGCCATAAAATGAGATGGCAAAGTCAGATTATAGCTAGGAAAGTCGTATTGAAAGACAAACTCCAAAGGCCATAGGTCTTTGTCTGCCCAAGGACTTTGCCACTACCATGTTGTAACCTTTGGACTCTCACTTGATACTCTCCCATAATTAAATTTTTTCTATTTTCACGTTCAGAAAACACTAAGGCAATTTTAGATGTAGCCAAGCTTTAGTTGGGTTAAGTTTTCACCTTCATGATGGTCTTATTGCCAACTGATCTGATGAATTGGGGGCTGCACATACGTTGATCTCACAGACACCTAACACAAAACTATTGTCTGGCAGAACGGTCTGTCTACCCATGTGAATGACTAAGTGACAGTTCCTAAATGCCACTTGTTTGAAATCTTAAGCTGTCAAAAGAGCCTGGGCGGTATAATGTGTTGGATTGCTAATTGAAAGGTCAGCTGTCTGAATCTACTAGCCACTCTACAGGAGAAAGATGAATAGTCTCTTCGTATAAAAATGTATAGCCTCAAAAAGACACGGAAAGGGCATCGCCAGCGGTGTCAGCGTCGAATGGTGGGAAATGGCGGAGTACTTGGCCTCCATTTTCGGCACTGAGAAAGACAAAGTCAACTGTTCATTTTATTTCAAAATTGGAGCATGCCGTCATGGAGACAGATGCTCTCGGTTGCACAATAAACGGACCTTTAGCCAGACTATTGCCCTCTTGAACATTTACCGTAACCCTCAAAACTCTTCCCAGTCTCCTGACAGTTTGCACTGTGCCGTGAGCAATGTGGAGATGCAGGAACACTATGATGAATTTTTTGAGGAAGTTTTCACAGAAATGGAGGAAAAGTATGGAGAAATTGAAGAGATGAATGTCTGTGATAAACCTTGGAGACCATCTAGTTGGAAATGTGTACGTCAAGTTTCGTCGTGAAGAAGATGCAGAAAAGGCTGTGATTGACTTAAATAACCACTGGTTTAATGGACAACCGATTCATGCAGAGCTCTCCCCTGTGACTGACTTTAGAGAAGCCTGTTGCCGCCAGTATGAGATGGGAGAGTGTACACGAGGAGGCTTTTGCAACTTCATGCATTTGAAGCCCATTTCTAGAGAATTGCGTCGGGAGTTGTATGGCCGACGTCATAAGAAGCATAGGTCTCGATCCTGGTCTCATGAACGTCGGTCCCGGTTGAGAAACCGTGGTCGTGGAGGAGGTGGTGGTGGCGGCGGCGGAGGTGGCCAGGAACGTGATAGGCGGCGATCCAGAGATCGGGAGAGATCTGGACAATTCTGAGCCATGCCGTTTTTACCGTATGTCTGCTACAAAGTGTTGTAGTTAATTGACAAAACCAGTTCATAATGGGAATTTTTTTTCAAAAACAACAAAAAAACACAAAGATGGGTTTCTGAATAAAATTTGTAGTGATACAAAAAAAAAGACACGGAAAGACTTTTTGTAGAGGAAGACATTCAGATGGCCAACAGACACATGGAGAGATTCTCAAAATCACTGGCAATAAGAGAGATGCACACCAAAAGTACAGTGAGGTACCATCTCACCCCAGTAGCATTGACAAAATTTCAAGGCACAGAAGGCAATAAATGTTGGAGAGATTAGACTCCGATACACTGTTGGTAGGATTATAAAATGATACAGCCACTCTAGAAGGCAGTTTGGCATCTTCTAAGAAAACGGAACATAGAAATTCCATAAGACCTAACTATTCCACTGCTAGGAATATACCCCAAGGAAAAAAGAACTGAGACACAAATGGAGATTTGTACACCTGAGTTCATAGCAGCATTATTCACAATAGCAAGAAAATGGAAACAGCCAAAATGTCTGTCAACAAATGAATGGATTGAGAAATTGTGTACATTCACATGATAAAATACTATGCAGCACTCAGAAGCAGTGATTGTGAAAAATACTACATAACATGAGAGCTTGGAGAGCATTATGTTGAGTGAACTAACTCAGGTCCATAAGGACAAATACCACATAAAACCATTGTAAAAATAGAAGGGTTACAAAAGTCCAAGGAGGAAAAAGGAGGGAGGCTAAGAGGGGGCTAGGAATCTTGAGAGCACAGAGCTATGTGGGAGTGAGGGGTTGAAGAAATTAGGAAAAATCCATTGGAGAACTGAAAAACGTAATGATGAGCATGGATCAGTGGTGATTAATTTTATAAACACAGTGTGATCAGAGCAATGCGTGAAACATAGTATATATGAATTTGTATGCAACATAAATAATAATACTAATAAAATTGTATAACCTCAGAAACCCAGTAGATGATCAGCATGACTTGGAATTGACTCACCAGCAGTGGTAATCTTTTCAGCATCTTTCTCCATCAAAGGTTAATTGTGGGTACCCTCTTTTCCCAAAAAAGAGATTAGACAAATTGAAATGTCCACAACTGGTTTCAGTGTCTTTATAAACTATGTAAACCTGAGTTAAACACATAAGCTGCAGCTTAGATTGTAATTGTTGCAAACAGATCGTGGTCCTGTCATGCTCGAGCTGTACTGAAGATCGTGAATTCCAGAGATGAAGAGAGGTCCTTCAGCCGCTGCATTAGTCATTTATTCTTCCATAAAGAAAATGATTGGGGATTCTCCAATTTTATGCCCTGGAGTGTAAGTAGTAGCAGTGTTTAGTCTCAATAATCTTGAGTTTTAGGGCTTATTTGAGCCTTTCCCCCAGAGTCCTTAAATGCCTCTATTGATCTTAAGAGTTCAGGCATTTGCTTGATACATTTGGATAAGTGCCTGTGAAAATGCATTTTCTCTGCTTTTTAGCTTGGGTTTTCAGCAATCATCTGAAATCCAAGTCTCAGCTTTTAGTCAGATATTGAAGGGCCCTTTGTCACTGGGTTTCCATCCTGGGTTAGGTGTGGTGGTGGTGAGATGCACATAACCTCACTAGTCGGTACATTGGGATTCTTTTTGCAAAGGCGGTAACCACAGACCATTCCTCGACCATGGATCAATTCCTTTGTCCGCACTGTGGTCTCAGACCCTCATTGCCCCAGATCCCTCCTAGTGGAGATGAACTTTTGTTACTTGGACCCCTGTTTTTGTCCAGAGAACAAATCCAGAAATCTAAACTGGGGTGTTAGAGCACATACGATTTTAATCTGTTAAATACAGGGTACTGGCGTATTCTAGAGTAAGCATGTTTATTCTTATGCAAGTTTGATATTCTTTTTCTCATAGGATTTGACTGATCCTGAGAAAGGATTTATAGAGGATGACAAAGTTACTTTTCAAATCTTTGTACAGGCGGAATCTCCTGATGGACTTCTGTAAGTTTAATTGGGTCATGTTACAGTGTCTTGGTGCTGGAGTAAAATACACCTTAGCCTATATTTAACAGAGATAAGAGCCCCTCCCACTTTTGCCCATGGGGTGTGTATGTGCACAGAGACACTCCTTGCTCACAGATAGGTTACAACGTTACAGATGTTTCTGCTTCTCACACCCTCACCTTCATTGGCTTAGTTTGTGCATCCAGTAATAGCTTAGCCAGGTTCTTCAGGCACTGAGGAATCCCACCATAGCAGAGTTACACTTTCTATGCTAAAGAGCTTTCAGATTGTTAGAAGAGTTACTACTGCAACATAAAAAAGTACAGCTGAGATGCTCTCTCTTGCTCTCTTGTTCTCTTTTTTTTTTAAGAGAGCAAGTGCTCTCTCAAAATTTCAGTGCATGACAAATATACTATCATGTGGAGTAAAGAAAGAACTGAGAACCCCAAGAGAGCTCAGATGATGAGTGAGGCATCAGTAAGCTTGGAGTTCGAGTTGCAAGCCATGCCTTTCACTCAGGGCAAAACAGTGTGGAAAGCAGTTGAGCAGCACACTTTGTCCTCTTGCTCCCATTATCGTCTTTGTTTTCATTCTGGCAGTACATGGAACACCTGGGTGACAGGGCAGGAGTCCAAGCAGTGGAGCAGCCCAGTGGAGCTGTTCATCCAGTCCAGATAATGGCTTGGACGTGACACTGGGAACACAGTGGAGAAACGTAAATCTGCACAACCAGGCAGCCAGTGGCATGGAGGGGCAGAGCAGAGGGAAAGTGTGGACTAGAACTTGGCTCCAGGATGAAGGCAGACACTGACTTATCTGAGGAGTTATACCTGTGCATCGCAGGTTCTTGAGGTGTGCCATCAGGCTGGGCCAAGGCCTGGAAGATTGGAAGAAAAGAGATTTAGAGAACAGAAGTGTGTTGGCCATATTTAGTGTCCAAGAAGAAACCCTTATAAAGAGATCAGATAACTTTGGCATAAAGAGTCACGGGAGAAGCCATAGGGGACAACCAAAGGCTGGGAGCTCACTATGAAGTGTACATCACCCTGCTGGTGATGTGTATTAGAGTAACCTCTTGGCTTTCAAGAAGACTGGTCAAAGACAGGAGTCATGCAGATATTTGGGGTCTTCATATGTAGAAATTCTACTCAGGACAGTTTGTCTACCGCAGCTTTACTAATCAAAATTATTATAATCCCCATCTCTACTCTGAATGGATAATTTGATTATGGGACAGCAATACAGATAAGCTCAAAAGACTGCTTGGGACCAAATACAAAGCACATCTCAGTTCCAAAGTGGTGATTTGTGGTTAAGCTTAAATGTTGCTGTATGCCAGAGCTGATTTCATAGCTGGTCCCCCAGTGTTTTGGAGGCTGTAAATCACAAGGAGATTACTCATCATTCTCCCTTGGGGCATCTAGTGGATTCAATCCACCTGTCTTTGGATTGTCAGTGCAACTCCTCAGCACAGAGCCACGAGGGCTTCCTTAGGCTTGACTAGCTGTCCCCAATTATCTTGGGGATTTTTTTTAAGGTATAGTTATTCTTTATGTGGTTCCCTGTTTGATGTCTATAACACTCTTCTGCCCTTCGCCTCTTACACATCTGTCTGCTCTGGGCATGTGATGTGATACAGCAGCACGTAGCTCCTGCTACCCACCAGAAGACATGGGGAGCATGGCCTGGTGCAGCCGCCTGCATTTTGAAATCTAAACGATTTCACTTTGTCTTCAGATTCTTCACGAAAGCACTTTACCTTGGGATTTTTTTCCTGCAATCCAGGAGAAGTCCATACTAAATAGTATTTATTAGCTTTCGTTGTCATTGGCTGGATTTCAAGTCAACAGAAATCAGAGTCATCCTGAGTCAGAATTGGGTTTGTGGTGCTTATTCTTCCTGGGTTCAGTCTTGTTCAAACCTGTTCACCCCTTAGAACTTAAACTGCTGTATGGTTTGGGGTTTTTTTAAATTTTTTATTTTATTTTATTATTTTTGTGTGTGTGTACCGTCAAATCAGATCTGACTGGTACAGGAGGAGATTGCCCCTCCTTCCCCGGCAGAGCATCTGGTGGATTCGAACCATGCACCTCTGGGATTGTAGTTGCAGCTTCTTGCCACTAGGCCACCAGAGCTCCCCTAAACTGCTGTATGTTTTTAAAAATAACCAACCGATTCACTGTAATTTAGGACCCTTACTGTCTAAAAAATGTATTCTTTGTGATTATCTACACATGTACATGCATGCACATATATACAGGCACATTTAGCATGCCTGCATCCAACTAATCCTGGAACCAGAAGACCACTGACCCTGAAACACACAATTGCTGCATATTAACCTCCACACTGGTCTTTTAGGTGGGACTCAAGGATGCACACAGGCTATGTAGGACTAAAGAACCAGGGGGCGACCTGTTACATGAATAGCCTGCTGCAGACTTTGTTTTTCACAAATCAGCTGCGAAAGGTAAATGGATGTTGTTTCTTTTCCTAACCTCCCTCACTTCCTCTATGTGCAGGTATTTAAGGGTGATGCACAGAGTACTTTTGACAACCTCTGCAATGTGCTCTCCTTAACACTACCAAGCACTCACTGTCTTTACAAGAAGACTGATACCCTCTTGACACTACTTACTCCCATCGTGCTTAGAAAGGTGGAAGGTCAAGGAAAGAGAGGAAAACCCTTAACGAAATGGATTGACACGGTGACTGTGGCAAGGGACTCAAGTATGATGGAGATGATGAGGACAGGATTTTAGAGCCATTGTTCATAGGGCCGCTGTGAATTGTACTTGACTCGATGGCACCTAACAACAACAACAAATCCTATTTGACAGTGTATCTGTCACCCCCTACTTTGAATACTGATGTGGGTGATTAAAATTTTACTCTTTCCGTGGAGTCAGAACTCACTTTGCTGACCGTCCAGAAGGTTTCTGAGATTGTAAATTGCATGCGAAGCATTTGCCTTTCTTTCTTTTCTGGAAGGTTCAAACCACCAGAGCCTTCCTATGGACTAGACAACCATAACTTCTTTAAAAACTTTACTGCAGTGAATTTTACAAGCCTGACTTTATTTAAAAATGAAGTCCTGGTGATGTAAAGCAAAATGACTACTAACTGAAGCAAAGGAGTGCGGTTCAAATCCACTAGCAGCTCTGTGGGAGAAAGTTGGACAGTCTCCTCCTGTATAATTTACGGCCTCTGAAAACCCTCTAGAGGGTCAGCTATGGATTGGTTCTTAACGATACATAGCAGTTGCTACTAACGAAAAAATGATACTTCAAATCCACCAGCTACTCCACTGGGAAAATTAAGCAGTCTCTTTCTGTAAAGATTTATAGCCCCAGGAGCCTGAGGGGGTAGTGGTGGTTGTGTCCCATCAAGTTGGAACTGACCCGTAGCTGACCTCCAGCAAGTAAGGAGATTTCCCTTCCTTCAGTGGAGCATATGGTGATTCAAACCGTGTGCCTTCAGGATTGCAGTGCAGCTTCTTAACCATTAGGAAGCCAGAGGTTCCTCAAGAGCCTGATAGAGAGTTGCTGTTGTCGGAGTCAGCTGCAGTGGGCTTATTGTTGAGTTTTTTTATACTGAGATTTATTTCCTTCGAAATGATCTTATGATAAATGATGTTGTTGATAGATGCCATCAGGTCACCTATGATTCATAGTGACCCTATGAAGAGATGATGTTGATTGCCTTCGAGTTGAGCACTACTCATAGCGACCCCATAAACAAGAGGCCTTTCTATAACTATCGACATTTATCAAAGTTCATAGTTTCCAGAGGCATGTTGTTTATGAAGTGGATACCACTGCTGCTTCCTGCGAATAGTAATAGATCAAAACCTTGCTCTATCATGTGCCATCTTCACAGTCTGCACCATGCTTAATCCTATATGATAGTCAGTGTGTCAGTCATTTCTAGTTATGGTTGTCCTTTCCCAGCAGGATGTTGTCTTCCAAGGACTGGTCCTTCCGGACAACATTCCCAAAGTATGTGAAATGAAGTTTCATCATCCTTACCTCTAAAAAGCACTTTCAGTGCTCACTTTGGCAGCACATATACTAAAATTGGAACGATACAGAAAAGATTATCATGGCACCTGTGCAAGGTTGACATGCAAATTCATGAAGTGTTCCATATTTTGTGCAGATTACCAAGAGATTATATGGTTTCCAACATTGAAACACTTCTCACAACAGAAATATTAACGTTTGCAGTCTATAAGGTTAAAACAGATACAAATAAATAAAATAGAAAACCAATTTGGTATCATTTTAAGACTAATTTGTTTGTTCTTTTGACAGACCAGGATAAAATACTCTTTGCATCACCACAATTCAAATGCATTAATTTGTCTTCTGTCATCCTTAATCATTGTTCAACTTTCAGATGCAAACATAGTAGTTGAAAATATCATGATTTGAGTCAGGTGCACCTTAATCTTTAAACTGACCTCCCTGTGCTTTCGTACTTTGCAGAGGTCCTGGAAAGCAGATTTGTCCAATGTAATACATCTTTTGATTTCTTGACTGCTGGTCCCGTGACTGTTGATTGGGGATCCAAGTAAAATGAAATTGTTAACAACTTCAGTCTTTTCTCCATGTGTTAGTGTGTTGTCTGTTGGTCTAGTGAGGATTTTAGTTTTCTTGATTTTAAGATAAAATCCACATTGAAGATTCTACTAGTTTTTTAAGTCCTCTTTAATTTCTTCAGGCAATATTTTGTCATCTGCATATGGGTCTTGAGGCTTTCTCCAATCCTGATGCCATGTTGTTCTTCAAAAGTCTAGCTTCTCTAATGATCAGCTCCGCATACAGAGTAAATAGTTTTGGAGAAAGGATACAACCCTGATGCACACCTTTAGTGTTTTTCAGCCATGCAGTATTCTCTTGTTCTATTCTGAAAGCTGCTTCTTGGTCTCAGTATCGGTTCATATGAGCACAATTAAGTGTTCTGCCATTCTTCTCAATGTTACCTATAAATTGTTATGATCCATACAGTCAAGTGCCTTTGCATAATCAGTAAACACATCTTTTTAGTATTCTCTGCTATCAGGCAAGATCCACCTGGCATCAACAATGGCATCAACCTCATTCCACAGCCTCTTCCAAGTCCAACTTCAGTTTCTGGCAGTTCCCTGTCCAGGAACAATATAGTCAATTTGAATAATCTTCAGGAAGATTTTACTTGCATGTGATAGTAATGATAGTAATAATTCTGTTTGATAGTTTCCACATTCTGTTGGATTACCATTTTTTTAAAATGAGAACAAGTATTAATTTCTTCAGTCAGAAGGCCAGGTAATTGTCTTTTAAATTTCTTTTCAAATACTAAAGGGTGTGTCCAAGACTCCGTCTGTTGAAACATGTCATTTGGTATTTCATTAATTCCTGGGGCCTGATTATTTGCCAGTGTCTTCAGTGAACGTCTTAGTTCATTACCACTAGTTCTTGATCCTATGCTGCTTTCTGAAATAGTTGAGTAGGTTGTTGCGTACCATCGAGTCTGAACCGACCCGTAGAAAAGCTTGTGTCCTCGAACTGCATCCTTGGACCATGCCTTTGGGGTTGCAGCGCAGCTTCTTGCCACTAGGCTACTAGAACTCCCTAGAGCTGAGTACAGATGAAAGTCATTTTGGTAGCGACTTTTCCATCATCTTTTGGTGCATTGTGCATCATTCAAGATTCTGTCCTTAGCATCCTTCAGTATTGCAACTTGAGGATTTAATTTATTTTTCAGTTATTTCAGCTTGAGAAATGAAGAGCATATTCATCCCTTTCAGTTTTCTAACTCCAGCTCCTTTTACAGAGGTACAGCACTTTATCTTCTTGAGCTGCCTTTTCAATCTGTCCAGCTGACTGTATTTGGCACTCCTTCCCCTTGTTTTGGCTTCTGTTCATTCTGGTGCAAGTTGCAGTTTCTTTCCTGGCATCCATTTTCATCTTTTCTCTTCCACCTGTCTTTGTGATTACCTTTGCTTTCTTTATGGGTGATGTCCTTGCTGGCATCCCACAGCTCATCCTTCAGTCTTTAGTGTTTAATGTCAAATCTTTTCTTTAGATAGTTTCTTAAATTCATTTGGGCTGATTTGGGCTGGTCTCATGGTTATATTTTGGTTCTCTAGGACTTGCTTTTATTTTATTCACCTTCAATTTCACCTTGCATATGAGTACTTGATGGTCTGTGCCATAGTCATCCTTTGGCCTTGTTTTGATTACTGTCACTGAACTGCTCCAACTGTTTCTTTACACAGGTCTAGTCAGTCTGATTACTGTGTATCCATCAGGAAATGTCTGTGTAAATGTTGTGATCATCAAGTCAGGACAGTTGCTGATTGGTGGGTTTTTTGTTTTTTGGTTTTTTTTTAATTAATAACACAAATTTTTGCAGTAAAATAAATCATTGACTATACAAAATTTTGTCATTTGATATCCAGCGTCATTTCTGTCACCAACACCATATTTTCCAACTGTCATTACTGCTTTTCTGTTCAACTTCTCTCTTCAACTTTAGTATTCCTGTAACCAGTGATTATTAGTGCATTTCAATTGCATGTTTAGTCAATTGCAGGGAGCAAAAATTGGCAGAAATCCTCAATTTCTTCATCTTTGCCTTTAGTGGTAATTATAATATTTGAATAAGGACTTTTAAACATCTTTCTTGTAAGCACGTGGATAGTCTCTGATCACTGCATTATGTCAGGATAGATCTTGAAATGTTCTCCCCCCCCCATTTACATTGTGTTTTATGCAATAATTCATATACATTGTATTTTATATCATTAATTTCTATTGATCTATGCCTGTTTATTCCCTCTGTCTGTTTTTTTTTTTTAATTTTATTATTATTTTTGTGTGTGTGTACCATCAAGTCGGATCTGACTGGTAGAGGAGGAGACTGCCCCTCCTTCTCCAGCAGAGCATCTGGTGAATTCATACTGCTACCTCTGGGATTTCAGTGCAGCTTCTTACACTAGGCCACCGTGTCTTTTATGAAAAAAAAATTATTTTCTCTCTCTCTCTCTGTGTGTGTGTGTGTGTGTGTACTGTCAAATTGGATCTGACTGGTACAGGAGGAGATTGTCCCTCTTCCACAGTAGAGCATCTGGTGGGTTTGAACCTCTCACCTCTGGGATTGCAGTACAGCTTCTTGCCACTAGGCCACCAGGACTCACCTATCCCTTTGTCTTTTTAAGTCCTTAATGAATTTTTCCTATTCCTCCACACCCCTCCTTCCCAACTTGTCAGCTAAACTCTACTATCCTACTGATTTTTCCACCCTTCTCTCTTTCCCTTTTGGACATTTATACACATCTTACTTAGTTATCCTTCTCTTTTTATAATAATGGGCTTATGCAATGTTTGTCCTTATGAGACTAAGTTAGTTTACTCAGCCTAATGCTCTTTAGAGCATTTTTTGTTCTATAGTATTTTACGAAATTATTATTCCTTAGTGCTTCATAGTATTCCATTGTGTGAATGCACCACAGTATCCCATGCCATCAGTTTGTTGATGGGTATCTGGGCTGTTTCCCTTTTCTTGATATTGTGAATGATGCTTTTATGAATGCAGGTGTTTATGTTTCAGTTGTGATATCCTTAGTGTCTGTTCCTAGCAGTGGATTAGCTGGGTTATATGAGATTTCTCTGTGTGTGTGTGTGTGCGCGCGCGCGTGCGCGCACACACAATTTTTTGAGGACATGTCACACTGCGTTTCAGAGTGCAGGATAGTTGTTGTTTTGTTCCGTCACGTTGCCTGCAGCTCATAGTGGCCCTATGTACAATAGCTCTGAAGCCTACCCTCCCCTGAATCAGGCTCACTTACTTAGACAAGCTTACCCCCATTGCCTTAGTTACTGTATTAAGACATCTTACCTAGGGTCTTCCTCTCCTCTGCTGTCCCTCTACCCTTTGGATCATGATGTCCTTTTGGCTACATGCCCAAGTATGTAAGATGGAACTTTAGAATCCTGGCCTCCAAGGAGAAACTTGGTTTCACCACTCCAAGACAGACCTGTTTGTTTTCTTGATGGTCCATGGTGTGTTCAAGACTCTTCTCCAGCACCAGAACCCAAAGGCATCAGTTCATATTCTGTCATCCTCTGTTGCCAATCTGAATGTCTTCCTTTGTGAAGAAGTGCTCTTTTTTGACAGTGAATGCAAAACCATTCCTCTTTAATTTGCCTTTCCCACCATAGTAGATCACATGAGTGTCTGATTCACAATGACTGTTATGGTCCATATCAGCTCACTAAAATTTAGGATGTCAATCTTTATGCATTCAATTTTTTTTTAAAGGTAAAAGTAAAGGTAGATTTATTAGAAAGTTACGTCCCAAAGGGACAGATTTCCTTCTTGAGGGGAAATATAGAAAAGGCCCCATTTAATTTTTTACAACTTCTAATTTTCCTAGATTCATACTTTTAAAATTTCGTGTTTTAATTATCCATGCATATTTGCAGCTATTTTTTCTCGTTTTGAGTCTTTCCACATCAGCACATGAAGGCTCTCCACTGGATGAAAACTTTGTTCCACCTGCATCCTTCAGCAGACTCCACTCTGAAGAGCCAGCTCTTCGCCAGTCCCATTCTGAGTGCATTCCAGCCTGATGGGCTCATCTTCTAGCCCTATATCCAATCATCATCTTGTCCATAGAGTTTTGGAAGGCCTTTTATGTCAGTCCTAAACAGCCAGTCCTCCTTCTTGGTTATGACACAAACTAAGATTTTGGTTTTTAACACAAAAGCTGTTTGTAACTATGTTTGAAAAGTCACTTCATTTATCCTCTTAAGAGACAGTTTAAAGAGTGTTCATCTTTTAGTGTTAAACTGTTGTTCTTGCTGTTGAGTGTTGACTTCCACTCACAGCCATTTCCTTGTGTACAACAGAACCGAACCCAGCCTATCCTGTGCCGTTCTTAAAGTGTCTCCTGTACTTTCTGCAGTCACTCAAGTCTGTCTTCCTCTCTTTCATTGACCTACAACATGGTGTCCTTCTGTTATCCAAGCGCATGAGAAGGTGTCTCACCTCACCATCTTTGCTTTAATGGATGTTCTGACTACACGTATTCCATGGCATATTTATTTGTTCTTTTAGCAGCCTGTAGTATATTCAGTATTTGCCAACACCACTGTTTAAAGGCTAAAGGCATCAGTTCTTTCCTTGCTTTTTATATTCATTGTTCAACTTCTTTTGCAATTTCTTGTGTTTTCCTAATTGACTTAACGTGAGTTTGGTTGGTTTTTTTTTTAAATACCCCTGATGCATTTGGAAATAAGTAAAAACAGTTACCTCTAAGCCTCTGTGGTATTGGAAATGATGCTGTCTTCTGGAATTAAATGCTTATTTCTAAATCAATTCTTCCAGGCGGTGTACATGATGCCCACAGAGGGGGATGACTCATCCAGAAGTGTCCCTTTTGCACTACAGAGAGTGTTCTATGAGCTGCAGCACAGTGAGAGGCCTGTTGGAACAAAACGGCTGACCAAGTCATTTGGGTCTGTATTGATAATCAGCCCTTCCCATGCTGCTTGCTCCTCTGAGGGATGAACAAGTGGAGAAATTCAGCGTGTGGGTGTCAATGTTGCCAGGCCTGACTACACTGTGCCAGTGTGCTTTTGTCTCTGGGTTTTGCGGTATCTTTTTGCAAATGGAAGCTAGGTGTTGGCGTTTTCCTTCAGAAGTTACCTGCTGCTTAAAATTTTCAAGGAGAGAGCATGTATGATATTCAAGTCCATGTACATGTACACTGATTTGCATCCATCACCTTCCTTAACCTTAAGATTTTCAGACCAGATGCAAAAGCTGCAGGCTTTTTTGTGTCAATTTGTGATTGGTTATGTCTTGAATTAGAACCCAGAAAGCTGCTGCTGTGAGGAGCTTCCAGCTTGATAGGGACTTGTACAACAGAGTAGGGCTGCCCCGTGAGGCTTCTGAGAATGCTCTTTATGGGACCGAGCTGCCCCTGAAAGCCATCTCTGTGAGGAACTTTTAGGTCAATAGTGAACCTTAGGATGGTGTAGACCTGCCCCTTGAGGCTTGTGAGAATGATCTGTATGGGACCAGACTGCCTCATTTTTCCCCCCCGTAAAGCTGCTGGAGGGTTTGAACAACTGATGTTTCTGTTAGCAGTCAAGTGCTTTACCCACTGTGCTACCTGGACTCATTTTTCCTGTAATTATGTTCTTTTCACCTCCCTCAAAAAAAAAACTACATAAAAAAGAATTTAAAAAATAATAGTTGAAAGGGAAGATTTACCCAGAATAAAGCTCACAAGGCAGGAAGGGGGAGGGTAGAGGAAAGAATGGAAATAAGAACCACAGAGAGATGGTGGGAAGAGTGTTGGCACAGTCTGGGGACTATAATTGGCAGCACAGAAGAGAATGCATACCAGAGGCTGCTTGGGGTACCAGACCAGTCTTGTAGATTCACTCAGATCACAATGGGAAAGGAAGGGATCGGGATGATTGATGATGCCCAGGGTAGCTATTGAAGCCAAGTGACTTGCATCTTGACTCTCATATGAGATGCAGGAGTGTAACTGCTGATGCTCATTTTCTTTCAAAGGTGGGAAACTTTAGACAGCTTCATGCAGCATGATGTTCAGGAGCTATGTCGTGTGGTAAGTTCCATGCAGGCCCAGAACCTCCAAGTACTCACATGTCCCACTATTTAAAGCCACTCATCTTTATTCAAGACAAAAATCAAGCTGGCGACATAGTCTGAGCTCTCTAGGTTAAAAGCCAGAAATTGGAAAAAGGAAATGTTAAGGGATGAGAGTCCACTTTTAATGTGTCCAGCTAGTCAGATACAAGTGACCGACGGAGGCAGCAGCCCTAATTGTTCGAAATGACTAAAATGCTGGCCTCTATTGATGCACAGAGTTGTCTCCAGGAACCTCCCTTTCTTTGTCATTGAGGCCAACTTTTTGAATTTTCCAGTTTTGTGATTCTTGTCCCATTAGACAAACACACAAGTACCTGGCTACTCAAGGTAATTGACTGGGCATGATGTGGGTTTTATTTTTTTAGTACTAGCCAGATTGAATTGAGTTCTTCAACCTCCATAGACCAGTGAATCCTCTTTGACAAGCTCAGTCTCATTCATCTCTTGGTGTAGTGGTCCCTCCAGTGTTCCATTTACATGATTTCTTACAGAGATGAATATGTGGAATTCTAATAGTACTCTAACCAAACCAAAACCACTACATCAAATTGTTTTCAACTTACAGTGACCCATAGGTATCAGAGGCGTTGAGTCTTTATGGGAGAACACAGCCTCTCTCCCAAGGAGCAGCAGGTAGATTGAAACCACTATGCTTTTTTATCTCGGTCTTTCACACGCGCATGCACACATACATAACTGTTACACACTCTCACTCTTCATTGCCATCAAGTAGGAACCAACTAACTCATAGCTAAGCCTCCATTGGACTTCAAATCAGTAAGTCACACAGAAAAGATTGCCCATCTTTCTGCCTCAGAGTGGGAATTCAGAGTATCCAGAGAGATTGTGCCTCTGGTTTAGCAGCAACAACCTGTACGCCTTCCATCACTGAGTCCCTCCTGGTTCGCAGTCTTAACATATGATGCCCTACACCATCCGGGCACCTTTCCATATCCATATACACTGCTGAACGAACCCATTCCAAGTCATAGTGACCCGCCATTGGGTTTCCAGGGTAACAGATCAGTATAGAAGACGACTGTAGGTCTCCCAGAGAGCACCTACTAGATGTGAAACACCAGCCTTTTCATTTATCAGCTTAGCACATTATACACTGAGCCACCAGCTCTTCATTAAGCCTGTATTAAGGACTTATTCTCTATTGTATTTGCATTTTTTGTCTTATAAATACACAACCAGGGAAGAGGATTTTGTATGTTTTTTTATGTCAACAGTCATCATATTTATAGCCTAGAATTTCTTGGGCCACTGACATTTCCTTGTCAGGTTTCTGAGTATACCATCTGCAAGTTACCATACTTAGTTGAATGTACATTTTCTTTTTTTTAAAGCCAAGACTTATCTCTTTCAGTTGCTTGATGATGTAGAAAAGTTGATGAGGGGCACATGTGTAGAAGGCACCATCCCTAAATTATTCAGAGGAAAAACGGTGGTATGTCATGGTTGTTTTCAATGATTGCTTTTAAAACATACTCTATAGAGTGTTTTGTTTTGTTTTTTTTTTTACTGCTAACATTTTGCCTGTCATCTTCCCATTCTTTGTAGTCCTACATCCAGTGTAAAGATGTTGACTATCGATCTGAGAGAAGAGAAGATTACTATGATATTCAACTAAGTATCAAAGGAAAGAATAACAGTAAGTGTGTGCATATAGGTAAGAGCCTTTGAGAACTTCAGCTATGGTTTATCATTATTATTTGAGTGAAAATTTACAAAGCAAGTTGATTTTTCACTTTATCATTCATACACTTTTTGCTTTATAAAATTAACTATAGTATCCACAAGGTAATCAGACTTTGCCATTTCCTCCTGTTAATTCTTATTTCCATTAATCATCTGGCCTACCCCTTCCTGCCTATAAGGCTTTAACTTTGGGCAGATGTTCTTTTGACTTTTCATGGCTGGTTATTCTAAGGAGTGCTTGTCCCCCTAGTGTGATTGGTCACTTTAGAGGCCTGGCTGTGGTTTGGCTGAAAGTTGATCCAGCTGGGTGAGTTTTGCTCCAGTCTTGAAGAGTAAAAGCCATAGTTTTGGGAGTCCTGGCAGTCTCCAGCAGACAAGTAAGCCTTAATATTTCAGAGTTTTGTTCCACATTGGCCCCCTGCCTCAACGTATCCAGGATCTTTTCCTCTGAACACTTTCAGAGTGGCCAGAGGTGGTAACTGGGCACCATCTAGTTCTTCTGGTCTCATGTTCATGGAATTTGGCTTTGGTTTATTGTACCACTTAAACAAGTGCTCTTATAATGTGTATATATACCACATTACAGAGAGATGCCCAAGTGAATACAGACTTGTAACCCTTCCATACATGAGAGACAGATTGACACAAGGCAGTCCTACCTGGTCCTGTCTCAGTCACCACCTCCTCTTAGAGAAAAGCACTGTGGGCTTCTGGCACCTCGGCTTTCACGTTGTAAATGCGTGCGTAAATAGAATCACCTGTCCTGTAGTCTCTCCCTTATTTCTTCTGGTCAGTGTTACACTGTGAAATTCATCTGTCTTCAAGGCCCTGTCTTGTGACTCCATCCTGATGAGAATGGAAGTCATTCTTTACATACTCTGGATACCAGCCCCAGCTTGGTTTATGAAACCTTGGTCCACCAAATAGCCTACCTATTCACTTCTGATATTGCTCTTAGCTGAACAGAATTCCTCCATTTTAGTGGAATCATTGCTTCCATCTTTGCATTTTGTGTCCTAGGAAATGATCACCTGTCCTAAAGTCTTGTCATTAGATGCTAGTGAGTTGGCTCCATCTCCTATACCTAGCATGTAAAAGGACAAGTCACTGCCTGATCCACCCTCTCACAGTCCCTGCCCTTCCTAGGCCCATTGGTGCAGTCACTATGGCAGACCAACTTGTTGAGAGCCTTACTCTTTGTCACTGACTCTATGTTTCCAATCATGTCCTTTTCTAGAGACTGTCGCCCTTCTGATAACATGCTCAGAGTATGTGAGAATAAGTCTCACCATCCTCACTTCAAAGGAGCATTCTTCTGAGACAGAGTTGTTCATTCATTCATTTGGCTGGCTATGGTGAAACACCCTTAGCAAGATGGATTGACACAGTGCGAGCAAGCATCAGAGATGATGAGAATGGTGCAGGAGAGGGCAAGATCTGTTGATAGGGTCATGATGAGTTGTAGTTTGCTTAGTGGCACCTAGTGACCACCTCAGTGGTAATCTTGGCCAGCACCATGATTGAAAGGCAGCAGTCTGCCTCATTTCCTGAAGTCTGAGCTCGTGGCTCCCTTCGGGAATGTTTATTGTTTTGTCTGTTCCACCTGTCTATAGTCCACCTGGAGCAGTTTTGTGGTAGAATGTCGTGATCTGTCCTTTTTCACCCTGTGTGCAGAGTGAGGTGGCCTGTCAGGGATCCTCAGGAACCCTGCAGCACATCTCTCTTGTCGCTAGGTCTGTTATATTAGTCCCTTTGCCTACAGGCCATTTCCATAGTGTCAGATAATCGCAGCCTTAATTAATTCCTGCTACCTGATAGAAATTACTAAAACTGAACCCTCCCCTCTCTCATGACTTTTAATGCCCTTAAGAAGCATAACTGGGGCCTCAGCACCTACGTGTCACCTGTTGCTGGCTTTATAACTGTGGGTGATAATGGTACATGGTACTACATTGTTCAAAAGATGGTTCAAAGGGGGCAGGGAATAAAGTTCATCAATCCCCTCATTATATTCTGTTTTATGTACCTGTGTGTAACACATATATACTTAAGTCCAGCCAAACCCTCTGCCAGCAGAACTACTGGTGATTGTAATTGCTCGCCTTTCAGTTAGCAGCCAAATAGGCTATGCTACCAGGAGAACTGTGTGTGTGCACATGCACATGGTACATACACACATATACACAGCTGTATATACACAAATACATGCATGTGTAAACATGTAATACCTACAAACATGTTTATATGTACACGTGTGTGTGTGTGTACGTGCATGCGTGTTTGCCTACTGCTGTCACCTCAATTTAGACTCCTGACAACTCTCCCTTGGATTTTTTTTTCTCCCTTGTATTTTTGAGGCTGTAAATCTTTACAAGAATAGACTGCATCGTTTTGCCCATGAGGCAGCTAGTAGATTCAATCTATATGTATTTAATGATATATATGTTGTTAGGAGTCCAAATCAATTTTACAGCAGAGTGTGTGTGTGTGTGTGTGTGTGTGTGTGTGTGTGTGTATTTTTATATATTTATATATATGTGAGTAGTGGTGTATGTGTAGTTTATATATGTGTGTGTGTGTTATATAACTGTTATGTATGTATATAATTAGTACTTAGACTGTCTAGGGCATACAATAATGGCTTTGGTTGACTTTCTCTTTCTCTCTCTCTCAAGTCTTTGAATCATTTGTGGATTATGTGACAGTAGAACAACTAGTCGGGGACAATAAGTACGATGCTGGGGAGTATGGCTTTCAGGTAACTTGCAAATTCTGTTCCCCTTTTCCCTTGTAGTGTTTCCTTTTGTTTCTGAATCTTTTACCTTACAGCTGATTAACTGTTGTGTAGTTCTGTTTTATGTGTTTCTTCTTCATGGCATCTGGGAAGGTGAAAAGGGGTAGCTGGCTGGACCCTGGCATGCTTACCATTCAAGAGGCAGAACTGCTGCCCTGCCACCTGAGGGTTGTACTGGGTGTAGGGGTCCTCACTGAGCTGCATCCTCATCTCCTGGTGTCAGTGCTGGAGCTTCCCAGTGTCACAGATAGAATTATTTGGTCACATGAACTCAATGATTCTTATTACTTCATAATGGGTTTTAGAATTAGCCATGAGTCCCATCTGCATGACAGAAGTAATGGAGGCCCTCTTGCTTCCTGAGGCCTCAGAATGGCCTGGGATTCAGGCAGCACAGCAAGCTCTCCATGCAGGCTTCCAGTCCAGGCAGGACACAGAAAGGTTGGACTTCCTACTGCCCAGCATCTGACGTTCTGGCCCTGCGGTGTCCTCATGGATCTAGAAAATCATTATCTGTGTTGCAAGCCCATAAACTCGTCACACCATTTAAGTAACATAGTGATGCAGATCCTCGGCCTGGCCTGTCCTCACAAGCCGGCCATCTTGTGTGTCACAGTGTGAAATGTGTCTTTTGGCAGTTGCCGCAGAGCTATGGTTCCCTAGCTTAGGCCAGCCACTCAGGACACCAGATGGTACATCAAAGTGTCATCCTGACAACTGTAACTGGAATAGAGTAAACCTGGAATGCTGCACAAGCATTGGGATCATCTCCCAAGAATTGCCTTATCCTAAATCTTGATGTTTTATGGTAAAGGTAAACAGTAGATATTATTTTAGAAGTCAGACAGCATAGGTGGTGCTGAAGAAGTATTTCTGTATTTCATGGTATAGTAGAAGCAAAGATTTCCTTTTACTTAGTTCCATAATTAGCATCCATGGAAATAGGAGTCAAGAAATCAGATAGCATATTGCTTTGGGAAAATCTGCCTTTAAGTGCTAAAGAGCAAGGATGTCTCTTTAGGTGTGACTGACACAAGCTGTGGGATTTTCAGTTGCTTTGTATGCATGTGAAACTTGAATAAGGAAGATCAGAGAAAAACTGATGTCTTTGAATTATAGTATTGATGAAAAATACTGAATCTAGAATGGAGCCATGCCACAGGAACCAAAATATGACTTTGAGTTCATCCCACCTCAATTTCAGAACAATCTCAAGAATAGGTTTGAGGCCTTGAACACTAGTGAGCAGAGACCTAATGAGTTGTGGGAGGATGTCAAATGTATCATCCAGGAAGAGTGCAAACAGTCATTACAGAGACAGAAGAGAAAGAAAAGACCAAAATGGATGTCAGAAGAAACTCTGAAGATTGCACTGGAGTGCAGAGAAGCCAAAGCACAAGAAAGAATTCAAGATACTAAAGAGCTGAACAGAAGATTCCAAAGGGCATCGTGGGATGACAAAGCAAAATATTACAATGAAATGTGCAAGGAGGTGGAGTTGGAAAATCAAAAGGGCCGAACTCATTCAACATTTCTTTTTTTCCCCCCAACATTTCTTAAGGTCAAGGAACTGAAGATCAAATTCAAACCTTGGGTTGTTATAATCAAGGATGCTTTAGGAAGAATATTAAATGATCGAGGAAATATTAAAAAGAATATGGAAAGAATATACTGAGTCACTGTATCGAAAGGAATTGGCAGACACAGAAGAATTTCATGAAATAACATATGAGCAAGAGCCTATGGTGATAAAGGAAGAAGTTCAAGCTGCTTTGAAAGAAATAGGAAAAAACAAGGCCCCAGGAATGGATGGTATACCAATTGACGTATTTCAGCTAATAGATGCTGCCCGGGACGTGCTCATCAAGTTGTACCAACAAATCTGGAAAACAACCACTTGGCCAGCTGACTGGAAGAGACCTATATTTGTTCCCATTCCAAAGAAGGGTGGCCCAACAGAGTGTGGAAATTACAGAACAATATCATTGATTTCACATGCAAGCAAGATTCTACTGAAGATCATCCAAAAACAACTGGAACAGCACATCAGCAGAGAACTGACAGAAGTCCAGGTTGGGTTTAGAAGGGGTCACGATACTAGTGATATTGTAGCTGATGTTAGATGGATCTTAGCTGAAAGCTGGGAATACCAGAAGAATGTCTATCTTTGTTTCATTGATTATGCAAAGGTGTTTGACTGTATGGATCATAACAAACTGTGGCTGACTCTGAGAAGAATGGGAATCCCAGAACACTTGATCGTGCTAATGCGAAACCTATACTTGGACCAGGGGGCAGTCATCTGAACAGAGCAGGGAAACACTGCATGGTTCAAAATTGGGAAAAAGTGTATGCCAGGGATGTGTCCTATCTCCATACCTTTTCAACCTCTATGCAGAACAGATTATCCGAGAGGCCAAGCTCTAAGAGGAGAAGTGTAGCGTCAGGATTAGTGGACGATCTATCAACAATCTTCGTTATGCAGATGACACAACCCTGCTTGCTGAAACTGAGGAGGACTTGATGCACTTGCTGCAGAGGGTCAAGGACTGCAACCTCCAATATGGATTGAGGCTCAATGTCAAGAAGACAAAGATTCTCACCACTGGACCAATTGGCAGCATCAGGATGGATGGTGAAGAGATTGAGATTGCTAATAACTTTAGTTTGCTTGGCTCCACAGTCAACACTCTTGGCACCATCAGCCAGGAAATCAAAAAACATATTGCGATGGGAAAGTCAGCTGTTAGGGACCTCTCCAGGGCACTGAAGAGCAGTGGTGTCACTCTGGAGACTAAGGTGCATCTGATAGAGGCTATTGTCTTTGCAATCACTTGTTACGCATCGGAGAGTTGGACAATGACTAAGGAGGATAGAAGGAGAATTGATGCCTTTGAGCTGTGGTGCTGGAGAGGGTTAAACCGGGCTGTTCCTTAGAGGCAAGGATTCTGGGACTTCGTCTGACATACTTTGGACATGTTGTAAGGAGGGATGGGTCCTTGGAGAGGGACATCATGCTTGGGAAGGTGGAGGGATGGTGCAGGAGGGGAAGGCCCTCTATGAGATGGATTGGTTCAGTGACTGGGGTAATCGGTATGGGTGTGTCAGAGGCAGTGCAATTGGCACAGGATAGAGCAGGGTTTAGGGCTGTTTAGGGTAGCTATGAGTCGTAAGTGACTCGACGGCATATAACAACAACAGCGTGGAGCTGCCAAAAGAACAAAAACCTCTATCTTGGAGGAAGTGCAACCAGGAGGGTGGTGAACCTTCATCTCATACTGTGGACATCTTAAGCAGCAGGACCCCCGAGGTGCAATATTCTAGGGGGAAAATACTGATTGATGCAAGGAGCACCAAAAGAAAATAGACCGGAAATATACAGTCACTGCACCAAAAGGACTCCTTGATGCCTGACCCATTCAGGAGGGAGCATGTGATCCAGTGGGACTAATGGATGAAATCCACAGTGCACGGAAAGCACTGACACAAAAGACAGACCCAGAAATTGATGCAATATCAATTACGGTTTCTAGCTAAGTGATAGAGCCCTGTACAGGCTCACGTAATTTACTCCAAGAAATTTAGAAGACTGAAAGAGATCTGCATATTCCATTCCAACAAAAAGTAATTCAAAAGAGTGTGTAAATTATATAAAAAAAATCTCTACTGTTACATGCAAGTAAAAGAAGCTTTGAAATAAGGATTATCGTGGCTACTATTAGATGGAACCTCACTGAAAGCAGAGAATACCAAAAAGATGTTTATTTTGTGTTTTATTGACTATGCAAAGATACTTAACTCTGTGGATCATAACAAATTATGGCTAACGTCGAGAAGAATGGAAATCCCAGAGCACTTAATTATGTTTATGCAAAACCTGTAAGAAGTAGTTGTCTCAACAGAGCAAGGAAACATTTTACAGTTTAAAATCAGAAAAGATGTGTATCCTTTCTCCACACCTATTCAGTCTACAAGCTCAGCATATAATTAGAGAAGTTGGACTGTAGGAAAATGAATGTGTGTCAGGATTGGAGAAAGACTCAGAACAGCCTGCTTTATGCACTTGACAACCTTTTTTAACAGAAAATAAAGAGGACTTGAAGCATTTACAGAAGATCAAAGACTACAGTCTTCAGTATTGATTATATAACAATATTGGGAAAACAAAAGTCCTTACCACTGTACAAATAGGCAACATCATGATACATGGGGAAAAGATTGAAGTTGTCTACCATATGTGTTACTTTATGAAAATCACTATCTGGGATCTCTCCAAAGTGCTAATGAGCAATGATACCAGTTTAGAGACTAAGGTATGCCTGCTGTAGGCCAGGGTAATTTTAGTTGTTTTAGTATATTTATATACTTGGGAAAGTTGGACAGTGAATAAGAATGGCAGAAGAAGAATCAGTGCTTTTGAACTGTGGTGTTAGTGAAGAACAGATTACCAAGAACAGTAAAATCTGTCTTGGAGGAAGGGTAGCATATGTACTCCTTAGAGGCAAGGGAGTTGAAACTTTATCTCACATACTTGTTGTCTGTTGTCAGGAAGGACCAGTCCTTGGGGGAAAAAGACACGCTCGGAAAGATGGAGGGTCAGTCAGAGAGAAGACAGCTGCAAGCAGTGGGCTGTGACTGCACCGATGGCTTGAGCGTAGTAGAGATCCCAAGGCTAAGTTTTGATCTGGTTTTCATAGGGCCACTGTGATTGATGTGTAGTTGAGTGGACACCATTGTCATCAGGAGCCAGTTCTTGGAGAAAGACGTGTTTGCAAAGGTGAATGAGTGGAACACCCTCATTGACCTAGATTGATAAAGTGACTACAACAGTGGCCACTGTGGAGCCTGAGGGTGGGACCAGCTTTCACTCTGTTGTGTATGGGTCATTCTGAGTCGCTGTCAGCTTAGTGGTACCTAACAACAGCATTAAAAAACATGCCATTGGCTTGTGAAGAGTAACTTTATGCATTTTTGTTTTCATCTTTTCTGAGACGCTGTGTCCTCACAGAAGCATTTGTGTATGACAGAGCTGTTCTTGGCCTAGCTGCCAGCTCTCCAGCTCAGTCTCGGGCAGGTTCTGGGAGGTGCATCATTACAGCTAAGGAGGAACGTAGTGATTGGAATTGTGGCCGATGTGGAGAGGTGTGTCAGGAGGGTCTCGGCGATGAGTTGGTGGAGAAGACACAGCCTTCAGGAAGAAGGAGTAGACTGAGAAGTCAGAGAAGGGGAAAGACAGTGCCTCATGGAGACGAGAGGTGCTGTGTAGGGGACGGTGTGGCACAAGGGTGATGTCCTGTAGCACAGGATAGCTATGTGGAGTGGTACCTGAATCACATCATCTTTGCAGAAGCTGGCGTGAACAGTAAACGCCTCTCATTGCTCCTGCATCCTGCTCTGGAGAGGGAAGTGGCTCTGACTCCCCAGCCTGGACACCTGGTGGCACTGGTTCTGGTCAGAGGCTGCACAGCACTGCAGTTTGTCTTATCTGTTGTTCTGTGCTTCTGTGTTTCCGTCATGCTAGCTGATGACCAGATGCAGCAAATGACTGAATCTCAGTTGACCTTACTGGTCCTGTGGCTGGACACTGAGACAGAGCCTAATCTAAGTAGAGAGGAGGTTCCTCCCACATGCAGCACTGCAACTTCAGTTTAAGTAGTAGAGAAAAGGATTTCAAGGTGCTGTGGTTTCTCTCTGAACCTCCATCCTCTTCCCGCACCTCCCACAAAAGTCCCCACTCCTTCCAAACTGGTATGTAGAACTGTTGCAAGCATGGCTCCAGTACCAGCTGAGTGAACTAGATTCTTGTTTCTTTTTTGATGTGCAGGAAGCAGAGAAAGGTGTGAAGTTCTTAACTTTGCCACCTGTATTACATCTCCAGCTGATGAGATTCACCTATGATGCCCAAACAGGCCAGAATGTCAAGATCAATGACAGGTAATTACGCAAAGTGGTAAAGTTAAGATTTCCCTATAATCCTGATGTAGCAGTTGCTCAGCCCTAGAAAATATCTTGATAACATAGTGCTTACCTGCTGGACTGCTAACCAGAATGTTGATGGTTTGAATCTACCAGTCACTCTAAGAGTGAAAGATGGGCAAGATCTCCTCTATAGAGATTTATAGCCTCAGAAACCTGACAGAAGGTCACCACGAGTGGAAATCCACTTGAGGGCAGTGGAGATAGACCAGGTTAAGGTGCTCTGTTGACGGAGTAGGTTAAGTGCTGGGTTGCTAACCAGAAGGTTCCAATTTGAACTCATTAACTGCTCTGAGGGAGAAAGAAGAGACAGTTTGCTTCTGTGAGGAATTACAGCCTTGGGAACCTAGTGTAGGGTCACCATGATTGGAGTTGACTCAGTGCCGAGGGGCTTTAGGGTTTTGTTCTCAATAAAGCTATGGTATTTGGCTAACCTGCCCCTTAAAAGGTCAGTAGTTAAAACCCACCAGCTGCTCCTTGGGAGATCCTGTAGAGATGGCAGCCCTATGGGCAGTTCTGCTCAGTCCTGTAGGGTCACTGGGTCAGAATTGACTAAAGGGGAATGGGGTCAGAATTGACTAAAGGGGAATGCTCAGCTTTTTAGTTGTAAGTACTCAAAGTCCTTATGTTTTCAGTCTTTCTCTCATTTCCCTTTACTGAGGCCTCAGCTTTTCCATTGTATAGGGGTCATTTCACTGAGGAGACTTGAGAACCTGTGTCTTTCAAATTGATTTCTGTCTTTGGAGAATCTTCTGATCGTCTGAGGTCCTCTGTGCACTGTGGCAGATAAAATCCATGAATATAGCACCCTTTTTTACTTTACACTTTTTGCATTTGCCAAGAGTTATTTTCTCTTATAATTTGAGTGAAAGTATACAAAGCAAATTGTTCTCCATTCTACCATTCCATTATATTTTGTTTTTATGACACTCACTACTGACAGTGTAACCAAGCTTTTCCTACATACTCACTGTCATTCTTGTTTCTAGTCATCCTCTTATCCTACCCCTTCCTGCTTTCTCAACTTTCTGCCTAAGAAGTCTACTCTTTTAATCTTAGGTGTTTATTCTAAGGAATGTGCCTCCCTGGTATCATTGGTCATCTTGTTTGACATGTTACATTGGGAAAATTGCTTTTAGGGGCCTCTCTAAAGTACTAAAAAGCAATAATGTAACTTTAAAGATGAACGTGCTCTTGCTATGCATCTGAAAGTTGGTCATTGGCTGAGGGTGATGGTAAAAGAATATCTTTGAGTTTTGGTATTGATGAAGAGTACTGCCAGAAGACTGCCATAAATTGCCAAAGGAACAAATAAATAACCTGGAGAAGGTGTCATCAGAGTGCTCTTAAGAGGAAAGGACCATGAAGCATTATCTCATGTACTTTGGGCATGTTGTTAGGAGGTCTTGGGGCTTCCCTAGGTTCTATTGAACCAGTAATTCTGGCTATTTTTATGTTTTTTAGTTTTGTTCCACATTGTCTGACCATTGTGTTCAAGACTTTCCAAATCATTCTATTTAAGACATTCAATCCAAAATTCTCTTAGAGTGGCCTGCCAGAGTAGTCAAGCACCATCTAGTTCTGGTCTCAGTGTCCTGGAGGACATCACTAGAATGTCTAATGAATTCGTTCTTGGTTAGAATGCAGGTGTTAACCTTGGATATGGAGTGTGATGTTAGTGTTTTGAAATAGGATTCTCCAGTTTTTTTCCATCTCTCAGTTGCTATTGACATACAGAATATGCCGAAATCTTTAAGAAGGCTGCAGTGGCGAGAGGGGTGCTGTTTCAGGGAATGTTCTCTAGATCTTTTAGGGACTGGGTATAAGAATGATGCTTCACACTGCTTTACCTGCTTTAGAATGTGAAGTTTGTATCCTCGTTGGTTTGCTGGAAAACAGTGTTGAGGGAGCCTTCCACCAGGAGTGGGGAGCAGCCATCAGGGACTCTTTGATCCTCTCTCTCTCTGGCTGTGACATGCAAGCACCTCAGGTTAGCAGTCTGAGGGCCAGTTCCAGTGGGTTTTGTTTTCTACTTACCTTTTTTATTGGAATTAGCTTACTACGTAGAAGATCATGAGATTTCATACAAAAATCTAGTCTTTGACTCAGCTAACACCAGAACTACTAGGAATATACCCCAAGGAAATTAGAACTGAAAGATGAACATATGCTATGTTCATAGTAGTGTTCCTTACATTAGCAAGAAAATGGAAACAGCCCAAATGCCAATCAACAAATGAATGGATTGAGAAATTGTGTTGCGTTTACACAATAGAATACTATGCAGCATTAAGGAACAATGCATGGGAGAAAGCATTATGGTGGTGAGTGAACTCAGTCTCATAAGGACAAATACTGCAGGAGACCATTATTTTTATAAAAAATAGAAGGCTGAGTAAGATGTGTGCGAATGTCCAGAAAGAGAAACGGAGCAGAAAAGGGGGAAAGGTGGAAATCATTAAGATAGTGATGAGTTTAGTGGGTAGATGGAGGGGAAGAGGAATGTGTGTGTGTGTGTCTCTCTCTCTCTGTGTGTGTGTGTTTAAATTAAATGGGAACTCAAACATAGGGTAATAATAGGCATAGATCAATAGTAATTATATAAAATAATTTACAAGAATGATTGTATGAAACAGTATAAATGAAAGATTGTATAACATGCAGTGTACATGAATGAAACACAGTGGAGAAGGGATTATTGTAAGCCAATAATTTTAAAATATCCAGTCTTATAGTAAAATCACACAACATCTCTGGACCTGAGTGGCAGCTGCCCTCTCGGAGCAGGGCACCTTTCTTGTCTTCATGGCAGCCTTCTTGCTCTGCCTGACTTTTCTCTCTGTTCTCTGAGGGCATTTTGAGTTGGCACCCTGGTGAGAACATTTGACCAGTTGCCATTCTTAGATGTCTTTGAGTCAACCCCAACTCCTAGCACCCCTATGTATAGAGAACAAAGCTCTGTCTGCCCTGTACCATCCTTAAAACTGGAGCAGTATCTGAGCCCCTTGTTGCAGTTACAGTGTTGAGCTTTCCTTTTGAAGGGTTTCTTTCATCAATACTCTGCTTTTCCAAGCATAATACCTTATTCAGATGCAGATGACACAACCTTGCTTGCTGAAGCTGAAGAGGATATGAGGCATTTGCTGCAGAAGGTCAAAGACTGTAGTCTTCACTGTGGAATGAAGCTCAACATCAAGAAAACAAAGATTCTCACCACTGAGTTGGCAACTTCATGATGGACAGAGTAGAGATTGAGATTGTTGATAACTTCAGTTTGTTTGGCTCCATAATCAACACTCTTGGCGCCAACAGTCAGGAAATCAGAAGATGAATTGAAGCATTTTTATTGTAGGGTCCACAATTTGATGGGTGGAGGGATGGGTGGGTAAAGGAAAAGGGAAAGTTCTGGCGATGTGAAAAACAATGTAGATGAACTTTATATTAAAAAAAAAAGGTTAATTGCTTTGGGAAAGTCTTTCAGAGATCTCTCCAAAGTGCTAAAGGGCAGTGATGTCATTCTAGAGACTAAGGTGCACCTGATTCAGGCCATGGTCTTCTCAATTACTCATTATAGAACTGAGAACTGGACAGTAACAGAGGATGGTAGAAGTATCGATGCCTTTGAGTTGTGATGCTGGAGAAGAGAGAAGAGTGTTGGACATGCTGTGGACTACTAAGAGAACAATCAGTTCTTTCCTGGACAGAATGAAACCAGGATGCTCTCTGGAGGCAAAGATTTTGAACTTTCGTCTCACATATTTTGAGCACATGGCCAGGAGGGACCAGTCCTTGGAAAAATGGACCTCATGCTTGCAAGGGTGGAGGGACAGCCAAGGGGAGGAAGACTCAAAATGAGATGTACTGACTTAGTGACTGGAGAAATGGGTTTAGGTCTGTCAAAGACAGTGATATTGGCTCAGAATAGTGCAGGACACTCAGCATCGCTATGAGTTGGACGCAACTCGATGGTATATAACAAGATCACCAACAATTCTGCTTTTCCAAGCATGATTCCCTTCTTCAAGAATTGATCCCTCCTGTTAAGTCTAGAGTGTGTGACCCTAAGTCTTGCCATCCTCATTCCTCAGGAGCACCTGTTCTTATGGTAGTCCATTGAATTTTCACTATTCTTCACTCGCATCCTAACTCAGAGGCATCAGTTCTCCTTTAGCCTGCTGTGTTCATTACCCATCTTTAACATACATAGAAAGCAGTTGAAACTCTCTTGAGTAAGGTGCACTTTTTTCTTTTAATCTGACATCCTTTCCTCTTTAGCACTTGAGAGAGGTCCTTGATAGCAGGACCCAATATAATACTTCCCGCCCCATATTTTTGTTCTGTGGTGTTGAGTTGCCTGCAGTCCATGGTGACTCTTTGTATAGCAGCTCTGAAGCCCATCCTGTTCTGAGCCAATCTCACTGATTCTGACACACCTACCCCATTAATCCAGTTACTGTATAAATCTATCTCATCTGGGGCCTTCCTCTCCTGCACTGTCCCTTCACCCTTCCAAGTGCGGTGTTATTCTTTGAGGATGGGTCCATTCTGGCCAAGTATGTGAGATGGACATTCAAAATTCTAGCTTCTAAGGAGAAACTTCCAAGGTTTCACCCTCTCTAAGACAGACTTACTTGTTTTCTTGGCAGTCCATATTATGTTTCTCCAACATTACAACTCAAAAGGCAAGCTGTAATTGTTAACAACTTCGATCTCTTCTCCAGCTATCATGGTGTTGCCAGTTGGCCCAGTGGTGAGAATCTTTATCTTTTTAATGTTGAGCTTTAATCCACATTGAAGACTACAGTCCTTGACCTTCTGCAGCAAGTGCTTCATAACATAGGTTGTTGATGAGTCGTCATCAATCCTGAAACCACATTATCCTCCTAAAGACCCAGCTTCCCGAGTGGTCTGTTCTGCATATAGATTGAAAAGGTATATGGAGTGCATCCCTGACACGTTCCTTTTCAGATTTTGAACCATGCAGTGTTTCCTTGCTCTGTTTTGAGAACTGCTTCCTGGCCCAAGTATAAGTTTCACATAAGCACAATTGCGTGTTTTTGGGTTCCCATTTTCCTCAAGGTTAGTCATGATTTATTGTGATCCACACAATCAAATATCTTTACATCATCAATGAGACACAGGTAGACATTCCTCTGTTACTCTTTACTTTCTGCCAAGATCCATCTGGTAGTTCTCTGTCAATGTACTGTTCCAATTGTTTTTTGTTAGTCTTCAGCAGGATTTTGCTAGCATGTTGTATTAATGATATTGCTTGATAATTTCCACACTCTGTCAGGTCACCTGGAATGAGAATAAACATGGATCTCTTCCAGTCAGTTTGCCAAGTAGTTGTCCTCCAGATTTCTTGGCATAACCTGGTGAGCATATTGAGGGCACCGTCTGATTGTTGAAATATGTCAATTGGTATTTTGTCAATTCCTAGGGCTTTGTTTTTTTCCAAGTCCTTCAGAGTAGTCTGAATTTCCTCCTTCATCAACATTGCCTCTTGGGTCATAAATTATGTTTCTCAAAATTCTTCTGTGTCATCCAATTCTTTTTGGTACCGTGACTCTGTCTACTCCTTCCATCTTCTTTTAATGCTTCCTGAATCAATTCAATATTCTGCCTGTAGCATCAGCATTGCAACTCGTGGCTTGAATTTGTTCTTTAGTTCCTTTAGCTTAAGAAATGCTGAACAAGTTCGGCCCTTTTATTTTCTGACTCCAGCTCCTTGCACATTTCATTATACTACTTTGCTTTGTCTTCTGAGCTGTCCTTTGACATTTTCTCTTCAGCTCCTTAATTTCTTGGTTTTTTTCCCTTTGCTTCTCAGCACTTGAGTACAATATTCAGTCTCTTCTGACATCCATTTTTGGTCTTTTCTTCTTCCTTCTTTGTAATAAACTTTAGCGTTCTTCATGGACGATATTCTTAGTATCTTCCCACAACTCATCTGATCTTTGTTCATTAGTCTTCAAGGCCTCCAATGTTTTTCCGAGTTGGTTTTTATATTCAGGGGGCGATAGACTCAAGATCAGATTTTGATTCCTATGGATATGATTTGACCTTCTTTAGCTTTAATTTTAACTTAGTTGATGGTCTCTGTTCCACAATCAGTACCTGACCTACTAATACATTTTTTTTTTCTTTAAAATTTTTTTCTAGTAATACTTTATCTCCGCCCCCAGCAATTCTCTTTCTTTTTTTTTAAATGCTTTTTTTTTCCAGTGTGTACTGTTGAATCTGATCCGATTGGCACAGGAGGAGATTGCCCCTCCTTCTCCAGTAGAGCATCTGGTGGATTTGAACCTTGAACGTTCAGGATTGCAATCATGCACCTTCAGTTTACATCATAGCGTCTTGCCACTAGTCCACCAGAGCTTTCTCTAGTAATACTTTTAAAAATTCCTCTAGTAATACTTTTTAAAATTTCTTGACAGCTGGTTCCATGAGTATCGTTTGTATATCTAGGTAAAATGAATTAATTCACAACTTCCATCTTTCCTTTCTGTATCATGATGTTTATTAGACAAGTTTGAAGAATTTTTTCTCTATGCTGAAGTTTAATTCATACTAAAAACTGAATTCTTTGAGCTACTTCAGTAAATACTTTAAGTCTTCTTTCTTTTACACAGGCAGAGTTGCATCATCTGTAGTGGTTGATGAGTCTTCTAATCCTGATGCCACATTCTTCTTCATATAGTCCAACTTCATACTATATGGAGCAAATTTAAGCACATCTCTAGAAATCCTTGGGTGATGATGTCCCTTTACATATCTTTCCTTTCTAAGCTTAAGTTTTCCACATTTGTCAGACTACCTCCTGGACCTGCAGAATCATTCATTGGCAGTTCAGGATTGTGTACATTCTAAACACACACTCACACCCCCCCCAAACACACAACATACATTTATCACCAGACCATCTTGAGTGTAGCCTTCCTTAAATTTAAATTGATTAGATCTTCTAGTACTTTATGGCATTATTCTCATAGATCTAGCTTCAAGTTGTGTGGTACCGTATGCACACCTGTGTTTATTGCTGCATTATTCACAATAGCAAAGAGATGGAAGCAACCCAAGTGCCAGTCAATAAATGAATGGATATAATATATATGTATAAAATGGAATACTATACAGCATTAAAAAAACAATGAAATAGTAAAACATTACACAAAATAGGGGATCCTTGAGGACAGTATGCTAAGTGAAATATATCCATCACAAAAGGATAAATACTGCATAACACCACAATTATAAAATAAGACAGACATTGAGGGGTTGAGGAAGGAAGAGGGAAAGAGTGATAATGAACACTGCATTGGAACAGATGAGGGAAAGAACTGTCCAAAAGGAATATATGGTTATTCATTATATGTATGAGAATAATCCTGAACAAAGGGTGACCTTAGGAGGAAGAAAGAAGAGGGTTACAAAATGTGCAAAAATGAATAAATAAAGGGGGGGGAAATGTGCAGTACCACATGGAGAACTGATAACCCCTAATGATTAGGGTCAGGTGCAAGTCAAATGCCTATTTATTTTTCCTAGATTGATGAGCCTATCAACCAGGAGGCTGGTCTGCAAACACTGTAACCCAACTGTGAAATGTCCAACAGACATGAAAGCTGCATTTTTCAGAATAGGTTATTTGGGAGTTTTGATTTTTTTTTATTTTTTAAATAGGTTTGAGTTTCCTGACCAGTTGCCACTTGATGAATTTTTGCAAGATCCTGATCCCATGGACCCTGCCAATTACATCCTTCACGCTGTCCTGGCTCACAGTGGAAACAACGAAGGAGGACATTATGTGGTTTATCTAAACCCTGAAGGGGATGGCAGGGTAAGTGCGCGGCTGGGAGCAGAGCTGAATGTGAGACCTGGGGGAGGTTAAATGCTGGATCCAGACTGCAGCCTCCCTAATGGGTGCCCCTCAATGTAGTTGTCTGTCTTGGCTGCTAAAACATGTCCTGTCGCTTTATCCTTTCTATGGCTGAAGCTTGAAAAGGGAACCTAGGCTAGTGATGCATCCTTCACTTGTGTAGCTCCCTGTTGGTAACTAAAGGAGTTCTAGTGTGTAGAGAATTTTCCTGCTAGCCTCTCTGGCTGTTCACATCCACCATTGGCTCTAAGAGACCAAGGTAGGCAGTCACAGGTCTGATTTACACCCTTGGAAACCCACTGGTGGGTCAGCTATGAGTCCATTCCAGCACAAGTCACAGTGAGTAAGTGGTTTGTGACTGACACCAGGCTTTACAGCTTGTAAGTCAAACTCAGGACAAGTCCTTGTGTGCCATATGGAACTGTGCTCCATAGAGGGTTTTTTCCTTCATCTGGTTTTCCATTCAGTTATTCATGTATGTTCTGTTTAAAGACATTAATTACAGTCCCACCCCATGCAACACCTTGTTAACACTTCCTCCTAAGGTTCTTCTTTCCATTAATCCTAAGCCTTCTGCCTCTGAGTTTTTCTTGGGACAGATGCTGCCCTTTTGATCTTTTCTGATTAATTGTATTCTTCCCAGGAGGAGACTGCCTTTTGTGTCTTCCAAAAAATGACTGGTGCTTAACCCACTGTGCACTGCGGCTCCTTTGGGACAATTTTCAGTGGGTAAATAGTAATTAGCACTTCCCAGAGGAAGTTGCTAAGGCAAGGTTTAGGTCTAGTGTTCATTGAGTATCTATGAATCATACTCAATTCATCAGCACCTAAGAACAACAAAAGAGGATTTTGTGCAAGGCGGCAGCAAAATTGAGTGACAGTTATGGTCACTGGCTATGGAACATCCATTTGTGCTTTCTCTGCAGTGGTGTAAATTTGATGATGACGTGGTGTCCAGGTGCACAAAAGAAGAGGCCATCGAGCAGAATTATGGAGGGCCTGAGGACAGCCTGTTTCTGCATCACTCCACAAATGCCTACATGCTGGTCTATATCAGAGAATCCCAACTGAGTGAGTACCCCATCCTCTTGGCTGAGGGCTTGAGATGTGGGCCTGTGACACTAGTTGCAGTGATTGCTTTGTTATTGATGTCAGAATTAGGAGCACTGGTGGTACAGTGCATAACTTATCTGGCTACTAACCGGAAGACTGGTAGGTAGTTCAAATCCAACAGCTGCTCCGAAGTGGAAAATGAGGCACAGTGCATAACTTATCTGGCTACTAAAGGGAAGACTAGTAGTTCAAATCCAACAGCTGCTCTGAAGTGGAAAAATGAGGCAGGCTCTTGCTCTACAGATTTTTTCCCCCCATCCAGGAAATTTTTACTTTAAAAAAAATTGTGAATACATTATTTGTGACTTCAATGAAAGTTTACAGAAAAGTTGATTTTCATTCATTGTTTCACCTTTTCTTCCTTCCCTCTCCCCCAGTCCACTTTGCAATGCACCTCTATTCCAGATTATTGTTATGCACGTAATGCCTTATCATATATTCCTTTCCAACAGTTCCCCTCTTTTGTTCCAGTGCAGTGTTCATTATCTGTCCACTCTTTTCCTATTCTCCCCCCAATTCCCTCCCCCATGTCAGTGTTATTTTATAACAGCAGTGATATGCAGTATTTGTCATTTTATGACTGAGATCTTTTTTTTTTTTTAATTGTATTATTTTTTACGTGTACCGTCAAATCAGATCTGACTGGTACAGGAGGAGATTGCTCCCTCCTTCTCCAGCAGAGCATCTGGTGGATTTGAACTGCATACCTCTGGTATTGCAGTGCAGCATCTTGCCACTAGGCCACCAGAGCTCCCTATGACTGAGATCTTTAACTTAGCATACTGTCCTTCCGGCTCACCCATGCTGAGTGAGTGAGTTCATTGTTTTTCAGTCCTGCATAATATTTCATTGTGTGAATGTACCATTGTTTTTCTATTCATTTATTTGTTGATGGGCACTTGGATTGCTTCCATTGCTTCACTAGTGTGAATAACACAATAATAAGCAGGTGTGCACACACACATCTGTTTGAGTGGTGGCTTTGGTTTCTTTAGGGTATATTCCTAATAGTGGATTTGCTGGGTCAAATGGTATTTCTGTGTCCAACTTCTTGCGAAAGCACCAGACCACCTTCCATAGTGGTTGCACCATTTTACACTTCCACCAACAGTGAATAACCTCCACAACCTCGTCAGCATTTATTGTTTGCTGCTCTGTTGAACTTTGCTATTATTACTGGGGTGAGATATCTCATAGTTGTTTTATTTGCATCTCGGATGGCTAGGGATTTTCAACATTTCTTCATGTGTTTATTTGCCATCTGAATGCCTTCTTTGGTGAAGTATCTATTCATATGCTGCGCCTATTTTGCGATTAGGTTCTTTACCTTTTTCTTGAGATTTTGTTCATTTTAGGTACAAGTCCTTTATGTCATTGCCAAATATTTTTCCCCTGTCTGTAGGCTTCCTTCTTACCCTGTTGGAGATTTTTGATGTGCATAGGGATTTTATTTTTATTTATTTTTTTTTTTTGGGGATTTTATTTTTAAAAGGTTCCATTCATCTATTTTATTCTCTTCTAGTTGTAGGATGTGTGGAAATCTGTTCATGTTGTAGATTAGGGCTTCTAGAGTAGTTCTTAAGTTTTCTCTGATGAATTTTATTGTCTCTGGTTTTACTCCTGGGTCCCTGATCCACCTTAAGCTCATTGTGTATGATGTGAGGTGTGGGTCTTCCTTGAGTTTTCTAGGGTCACCTATTTTGAATAATATTTCATGAGTTCTTTTATTTCCACTGCAGCATAGTATTCCATTGTGTGAATATACCACAACTTCTCTGCCCATTCATTTGTTGATGGTACTTAGGCTTGTTTACAACTCTTTGCTGTTGTGAACAAAGCTGCAATAAACATGTATGTGCATTCTTTTTTTTTTATAAAAGCTATTTAAAATTACTTTTATTATTATGAGAGGAACAGTGCAGGAGAGAAAGACACTGGATGAGATGTATTGATATAGTAACTGGGGCTATCGGAGTAGATGTGTTGGAGTCAATGAGACTGGCATAGGACAGGGCAGGCTTCAGACACATAGAGTCACTGTGAGTTTCAGGAGACTTGACAGCACTTACCAACAACATACATAGCACAACAGTCACCATTCAGCAGTTTGTGCATGTGCAATTCAGTGACATTGCTTACAGTCTTCAAATTGTACAACTGTTCTCATTCATCTTTTTTCAGTTGTTCCTAAGTTATTGTCTTCTCTACCAATGTGTTGTTGTTGTTGTTTAATGCTGTCGAGTCGTAGACGACTCATAGCGACCCTATGAACGAACAGCCTGAGCACTGTTCGTACATAGAGTTTCCGGAAGCAAGCCATTTTGGAAGTGGATGCCGCTCCTGCTTCCAGGCTTGATTTAGTCGGGAAGCTCCAGCCAACACTGTCTACCAATG